GGTGCTCGGGGAGAGCCACGCCTGTCCTGGCCTCGGGCTGTGGCGTGGGCCATCCCCCGGCGGCTCGGCTGGCAGAGGGCTGGGCGCAGGCGAGTGGGCAGGAAGGAAGCAGGAAGGATCGTGCTGGTCCCCGTCCCCTTTCCCTGTTTTGCCTCCGGGGCAGGAGCCGGGTGCCGCCAAGCAGAGGATCTGCTCGGGTTTCCGACAGATGCACGTTTGCGTCCCTGTAACCCGGAGCATCCCTGTTGTGGTGCCAGCTGCTGTCCTGCCACCGAGCATTTGTGGAACTGGCTCCAAAGGAAACGGATCTCGGCCCGGGCCAGCGTGGAACTTGCCTTGCGTGGCTCATGTGAGCGATTTTTCTGAGAGTACTGAGATGCTAGTTTCTGCCAAACTGATGTTTTTCATGGACGTTCTTCAGGGTTAAACAAAAGTGTCCCAGCTCCTTCATAATGTTTTTTCCATGCTTGGTATAAGTCATTAACTTTTTGGAGGCCAAAGAAATTTTGCTTTTCTAGATACTTGTTCATTTGCTTCTTTTTCATGTAATAATCACTCTATTTTACTTGTGTGCTAGGTTAAAATCTTGCTCTGCATGGGACTTTTTTTCAAAGGGGAAGGAACAAAAAGTCTTTCATCCAAAGAATGTGTTGTTGACTTTTTTTCCACACGGGAGAAAAAAAAGGAGGGGAATATGCTATTTTACACACATTAGGACAGCTCTTAAGCCACTTGACTCTTCATAAAACAGACTTTTTTGCTGCATGTTTGTTCAAAAGGTGTATCAGTTGCTTGAGGGATTTTGATGAGAGGAGGATGAATAGCATTTTTGATACTTAGAAAAATAACAATTTGAGAAGTCACAGTGGACTTCAGAAGAGTTCTGTCACTGTTGGTAATGAAATTACTTGGGGGAGAGTGTTTCAAATAGATACATACATTTACAATTTCTTCAGTTGTTAAATAATGTTCCTTGAAATGTTTCTTGAACATGGTAATTTCTTTGTTTCCTTTAGAACATAATAGAGAAAAAACAATTACTATGCATCATCTTCTTATGGGTGGCCTTGGGCGTGACTAGGACTATCAGTGTTGTTTCTTACTACTTTAGTGGTAGACTCAGTAATCTGCAAGAAATTAAATGGACAGACTGTAAAAACTGATGGTGTTCCTGAGGAAATATTTTGAATATAAGTTGAAAATGGGAAAAATTGTGTTAATTGTGGTGTGGGTTAACGCCGGTAGGCAACTAGGCACTACACAGCCACTTGCTCACTTCCCCCCCACCCCCAGAGGGATGGGGGAAGAGGAAGGGAAGAGTAAAAGCAAGAAAACTTATGGGTTGACATAAAAATTGTTTAAGAAGTGGAGGAAAGGTGGAAAAAGAGAGACAGAAAACAAAATGGATGATGTAAAGGCAATCACTCCTCCCACACGTAGACCAATGCCCAGCCAGTTCCTGAGCAAAAGATGGCTAACCTCCCTAAGCCCCCTCCTCTCGCTTTTTATTGCTGAGCATGACACTTTATAGCATGGAATATCTTCGGTTAGTTCAGGTCATCTATCTGGTTGTGCCCCCTCCCAACCTCTTGCGCACGCCCCAGTCTATTCACTGGGTGTGGGTGCAGAGGGAGAAACAGAAAAGGCCTTGATGCGGTGCAAGCTCTGTTCAGCCACAGCTAAAACATTAGTGTGTTATCAGCATTGTTTTGGTTACAAATGTAAAGCACAGCACCATACAAGCTGATATGAAGAAAATTAATTCCATCCCAGCCAGACCCAATACGTAAATACACTTGTTACTGTTTCTGCTTCTACTTCTTCTGGTCCTGACACAGGTGTTACACAAATAATATCTAAATTAGTGGCCAGAGTAGAAAATGTAGGTACAAAACTATGCATTATACAATTCACTCCATTTTTGGACTCTTGAAGCACACATGACAGTGCATGGCTGTGTCTTCCGCTGGGCATACGTCATTCTCTGTGTTTCAGCTTAGGTGAAAAATGAGGCTCAGATTAACAAGAGTTGCAGAAATAATGTCACACTTTCTCAGCAGGAACAAATGCTACGTGCCTATCCAGAGGAAGCGTACACTGCACAGGAAAGATCTGAACAGGGACCAATGAAAATACAAGTTCAGCTAAGATGTCAGCAGTCGATAGATTTCTAAATACATTGCCTTTCCTTCATGGTGATTTGCTCCTTGGTCTTGAACTTGGGAGTCCTAACTTTGCATGCAATTATTCTGGGGAGAGTAGTAATTCATATCCTGGTTCAGTGACCAAGTAAGGATCACTGAATATCTTCTGCAGGCACCTTTACTCTGCTTTCCATAGTGGTGGAACGCTACAAACATAGGACTAAAGGGGACTGCTCAGTCATCATGCCCTATCTTAGCTCTACATAATTGCTTTCATAAACTTCACCTTAAAAACAGTTCAGTTGTTCTTTCTTTCATTTTTAGGCTGCTCTAGAATACAGATAGTGTAGGGAAGAAAAGGTAGTTTCTAGTAAAGTTTGTTCATGGTCACTTCATGCCCATTTGCTCTCATCCTACTGTCCTTAAAATTAGAATTATTTTTCCTCCTTAGTGGTAATCCCTGTGATACTTTTATTTAAAGCAAGTCTATTTTCTCTTCATCAGGGTTTTGCTAGGCTAGACAAGTTACGCTTTCATCGTATTTCAGTATATAAGGTGGGCAGTCTGTTCCTCCATCCTGATAACCTTTTTTGCAGTTGTTCTTTCAATCTGTCTTTGAGGGTGATCAGAACTCTGTATGATATTGTACGTGAAGGCTCACTAGTGCCTCATTGCATGACATTGGTACTTTTCTGTTTTTACTGAAAAGAGTCTACTTAAACTTTTTCCATTTTTTTTTTATGGCCACCTCATTTTGGGATTAGCTAACAATCCACAAGGGTAAACTTTCTAGTTCTTGCTTTTGGTTTTTAACTGAAGAGCTCTGAATTTATACACAAGTAATTATTATAGTCCCTAAACTCCTGTTATAGTCCCCAAGCTGTTCTTTCAGAACTTTCACAGGAATCTTGTTCCAACCTGATAGTAGGTTGTATCAAAAAAGGAAACATAACCACATTGCACGTTTTACACTAATTCTTCATTTTTCAGCTAAACTTGTAATTTCTTGTATTGTATAATAAATTACCAATGTCCGTGCAGATTACATTTACTACATTTATTGCATGATCTAGCTTTTATATACTAGCACATTTTCCATTTAAAAACAGTGGGGAAAGCATTTTTCATACATGTGTGATGAGGAGAAGTATTTTTGAGCTGGGGAAAACAAACCACTGAATAGTTGAGACAAACAGAGTTTAATTACTGGCTGCTCGCTGAACTAGATGCTGACCTACACTTAAAAATCTTGGGACGACTGACTGACCAGTGTGTTTATCTTGAGGCTGAAAAGAAAAAAGAAAAAAAAAAAAGCCTCAAACATCATACTCTCTGCTGAGCTGGAGAAAAGAATTATTTGCCTGTCAATCTATTAAGCTGTTAAATTCCTTCTCCAGGCTTCAGTTATCCAATTTTGTTTTCTATTACATGTGGAAACAGATGCATGTGGTTAATATTAAAGGGATTGCCATACTATAGACCTCATCAGATAACCAATCTAATTTCTGAGACCGGCTTCTTAATCTTCTTGTTTCCATCTTCATGTTCTTTTCCTCAGAAGTGTGTGAGAAATAGTGAATAAATGTGAGAATGAGGGGATAACTTCTTCCAGTTCAACACTTGCAACCAATCATAGGCTCAAATCTGTAGTTTTTAGCAAGGCTTCCCATGTAGTGGACTAGTCTGGTATATTTCGCTGTGAAAATGAAGTAAAGTAGACAGAACCACAGCACTTCAATTCCAGTTCTTTCATTGTGATTTGATCATGGGGATCACTTCTCTCCCAAGCAATCACTCCTGTGAGTACTGGCATAAAAGGGCTAGTTTAAGCTATTGTGAAAACAAAGCTGTTTTTCTATTGCTGGTGTTTTGGGGTTTGTTTGGTTTGTAGAGTGTAGGAATACTACTTCCCACATGAAGGAAAAGTGCTTTCGTAAAGTGTTGTTGGCCTCTGATATTAACTGATGTTAACTTCGGACATCAGAAAACATAAATAAAATTTGTGAATAAAAACAATCCAACAAAACTCTTAAACGTTTATATTTTCCGTATAAATGTCCCATTTGTTGACTGTTATTGTTGGAAGGCTGTATGTTAAGTCTTATCTGACTTTAGCGTTTCTTTCAGCTTTCAGACAGAGGACACACAGAAAGAGAAGAGCAGAAAGAAGATAACAATAGCACCGAATGCAGCGAACTAGGAATCATGGATCTGAAATTCACTTCATCAAGAAAATACATTTCCATCAGTGTACCTTCCAAATCTCAAACTATGTCTCCCCATATCAAATCAGTAGATGACATTGTAGTTCTTGGCATGAATCTCAGCAAATTTAACAAACCTACTCAATTTTTCATCTGTGTTTCTGGAGTTTTTATGTTTTATCTAATCTATGGATATTTACAGGTAAATGTTATGAACTTGTGTCTTAGGCCAATTCCTCCTACCCCTTTTCTTTTTCAATATAATAATAATGTAGTATGTATTTTAATATGTATAGACGTTTAAAATAGATATTGATTGCAAAGTCAAGCTTTCAGAATTCAAGACCAGTAAGTAATTGTATAATGTAAGATTCCATTATAGTTCATGTGCCTATGAGGCTTGGTTCAGTTGGACTTTCATAACTTGATCTTTTACTTCTGTGTGCAAGGTATACCTTTCAATACTGTTTCGAATGTGTATTCTTTAAATGTGGTTTCATAGTCTTCTGAAAACAAACACATTGTAGAACCGTACAGACTGACATGTATAGTCTTCATTGGTGTTGAAACCTTTATATCTCCTTGAGTTCTGAGAGTGCCGTACAGTAATAGTAGTCTGTTGTTCTCTCTGCTCTCCCTTCAGGACGGAGCTGAAACATGTACTATGGTTGTTTGTTAAGCAGAAGCATAATGTTTATGCCATTTTAGTTAAACATTTCTCTTCCTGCTAAACTTTTCTCTTTTATCGTGAGCAGCTACATTTCTGTTCCTTTTTTTAATTTTTTTTTTAAGTTCACTGAGTCTTCTCAATAAAGCAGTGATTTAAAAAGTTGATAATTAAAAATCACCATGTTTCCAATGCAGTTTTCAAAAACAGCTGAGAAGTTTGTTAAAATAAAGTTACTTCCAAAGTTAGACAAAGTTATTGGTAATTGAAAGCAGAATCTCCAAAATATTAGGTAGCCTTTTGTTTCTATAACTGACACATCTACATAATTCTTTGTGCAGTGCATGTATTTTTCCATAACAAATTGCTCTGGTTTTAAATGTTCCTACAGCCTGCAAATTTATAAGCTCACAAGTGCTATTTAATGCAGGCACTGAAAATATTAGGTGCGCATTCCTAAGAGATGAAAATTACCAGTAAATATGTCTGTTAGAGAAAGTTTGTATTTAATTTATTGTGAGCTATTTATAAATTCTGGATAAAACCAGTCTACTGAAGTAAATGATCTGAAAACCAACTGAAAAACAGACAGGAAACCATCTATAATTTGAGATAAATATTAATGGATCAAATGTATTCCCCTGATGAATTGATCCATTAATCGCAGTTGATTTACACCAGCAGTATATTTTCTCATTGCATTTTGGAGAACCTAAATTGTCCTTTTCAATACTTTGCAAGTTACATGTGGCAGGTAAATTCTCGTTAATAACCAGCAGCTGCAAAGGCTAGATTTGCATGTACATGAAGGAGAAAAATCTGTTGATTTTGTTTTGATTTAATATTTTGGTGTATGTATGTGACCTTGGTGGATTTTGTTTTTATAGGAATTGATATTTTCAGTGGAAGGTTTTAAACCTTTTGGTTGGTACCTCACTTTAGTGCAATTCGGATTTTATTCCATTTTTGGACTAATAGAATTGCAGTTGATTCAGGACAAAAGGAGAAGGTATGTGTTTTTCCAAGCATTTTACCCACTGTCCATCAAATTAGAAGCATTTGATGTTTATGGTAAATTTAACTTCTGTTGTTTGAATGTGAATACTGTGAGGCATTGGTAGCAGTTCCGTAGTTAAAATAATGTGATTTTACGGGATGAAGTTACAAAATGTTTTATAAGCACTCGCTTAGATTTCAGACCTGTAAGTAGTCTTGTTGACTCTACTGTCACTTTGTCCCACTTACAAAGCATATTCTATCCTTAAGGTAGCTGATACAGACTGACTCATGTATGTATTGCGTGGGATTATCACATCTAGAATAGGGCCAACTGCACTTCACAGCACTTGAAGCCATCTCTCGCTGAATACCTTTTCCTCAAACCTTTGTACCTCCTCACCAAGACGTTCCTCTGACATGCTGTGCATCTTGGAGCGTGTCAGAGGCCTGCTCTCTGTTTGCCATGTGGCTGTGTAGGTTTGCTTCAAAGGATTTCCTTAGGTTTTGCATTTTTCATTTAAGATAGCACTCATAACACCCTGCCACAAAATTATTCTGTTTTCACAGCAGCTGGCCAAGGAGATTGTTGCTGTCTTGAATCCTATAGATATGGGATAGTTTCATCTGACTTGGTGTGGCCGTTCTATGGCTTCCTGCCCAACTACAGCCTCTGCAAACTGTATATTGAGGCCCTCTGGAAGCTTGGATAGAGGTTGTCATGGTGTACATGAATTTTAAAATTGCTTTAAAGCATTATATCCTAGCTGAGCATAACTAGTTTTCCTTACCTGTAGTCAACCGTGGCTGATTTTGCATATACTGATTTTAGGTAATAGATTTCTTTTATAGCCAAACAATGTAACTTTGATAAATTATTCTTTTTATTTTAAACGCTGACAGCTTATATTTCAAGTTATCTGACTTTTTGAGATGCATCAGATAATATTGCATAGTTACCTTTTGGGTGTTTTGTAACAAGTATTTAGGTTTTGATTACCAAATAGTTGCTAATGCTTACAGAGCATGACCCTGTAAATAAGTTAAGTTGGAAATGTAGATTTTAAATACATTTTATTTTCTATAACCTAGGCATCTTCTTGTAGACATTAAAAAAATCTATTTCCTAATTTTTATGCAGAATTCTCTGTTTCTTAAATTTTAAATTTTTCTCACTTGCTTCAGAGTATGCCTACATCACATAATGAGTTATGGATCAGACAGCGTTACAGCAAGACATCTCCTTATGTTGCTTAATGTGGCTCTGAGTATGTATAAAAAATAGCTGAACATATGCACAACAATAACTGTAAAAAATCACAAAGTGAGCACAGCAATTGCTAAAAATTACTGTTGGATCATCTATTGTCAGGTGATAATTTTGTCAAATTGCAAACAATACATCTGAAAATGTTCAACAAACCCCTCCATTCATGATATCTGAATCACTTCTCTCTTAGTTCTGTTGAGTTTTATAAAACAATGGTACTTTTTTTTTCACCTATCTTCATTCTAAAAATGTCAATGTTTCTGTGAAAACTTCACCAAAAAAATTGACACAGTGACCACGACAGGACTAGGATTCAGGATATCTTGGTATACCAACCTTCCGTGTTTCCTTTGACAAATAAGCTGAAGCCTTTGTCTTGATTCCTCTGTAATTAATATACCTTCTCTGAAGGAGGTTAAAGAATTGCTGCTTGAATACTTCATGAGCCATGAAGTTTTTATTGTCTTGTATTTGAATGCTGTTTATTAGCAGTAATTGAAAGAAATGAAATTTGAATTCAGTCAGTAATGTGCGTTTTTAAATTTCTATTATGGAATGAAATTCAGTGAGAAAGATGGCCAAGTTGTAATACAAACATATTCCTTCATCTAAATTTTCCAAGCTAAATCTCCTCTAGATGAGTCTGTAATACCAAGATTCATATGTTTATATTTTGTAGAATTCCTGGCAAAACCTACATGATAATAGCGTTTTTAACAGTGGGAACTATGGGTTTGTCAAATACCTCTTTAGGATATCTGAATTACCCTACTCAAGTCATCTTCAAGTGCTGTAAGCTGATTCCAGTTATGATAGGCGGGGTTTTTATACAAGGTAAGTGTTAGTCTTGCTACTAGGTGTTTTTTCTGTTGTTTCTTTGGGAGGCAGTCATGTATGGAATCCTGTACTTTGTTAAATTCCACTGAGGCTCTTGGGTAGAGAGGGACAGGTAGCATTTTTCCTATAGCAGGAAAAACGTGAATTTCTGAAGCGTCTTCTCAGAAAATGTACAAATACAATTAGATGAACAGAAAATGTGGGGAAAAAGAAGTTGTACAGGTCACTTGCAAAACTTCATTTTTATGCAGGCTTTCTTAAATTTTAAGTAATGTAACTTTGTTTTCTAAACCAAATCACTTCATAAATGAAACATTTTTGATGGAAATGGAAAATTTGAAATGGGGAAAAAAAAATTAAAATCCAGCCATGATTTGTGAAGAAATCTCCTACTCTTCTTGTTTGAAAAGCTTGATTCCTAAATTCCTAATTAAAATTCCTACATTTTGATGAAAAGTTTAATCAGAAGTACACCTGACTTTACATGTCTTTTGGCTAGTCCTAAAGTTATAGTTCATATTCCGAGAACAGAAAAAGGGATCTGGAGAACAACAGATAAAGGCTATAGTTATGTGAATAAACATACTTCAGTATTTCAGGATTTAGAAGACTTAAGTATATTATAAAACTTCCTATTTATTCAATACATAAGGATTCATTAAGTCAGTAAAGCTCTGCAAGGGCAAGTGTTATACAACAGAATCTAGAATGATACATTTCTGTTTCTGTAGTTAATTCTGGCCTTCTAGTTGCAACAGAAAGCTGAACTTTCAGGGGAGGTTACAAGTTTACATATGCACATGTGTGCACAGTATTTACCTTTTATTAGGAGTCATTTTGTATCATTTTAATGCAGAGACTGGTATTCCCTTAAAGCTTTGTGAAACTTTATATTGTGTTGTAGTAGTTTTGTAGTCACAGCAGCCGTGATTTTTTTATTATTTATTATTATTTATTTTAAAAAATCAGTTAAAATTTTCAGTTCAAAAAAGTTCCCTTGGAAGCTTATATTGAAAGTACAGCTTCTGGGAAAGGAATATGTTATTTCAAACAAGATACACTAACTCCTGCCTTTTCACTTCCCCACTCTATTTCTTTCTCCACCCCCCTCGCCATCCTGTCTCTCCCAAACTAAGGGATAATGTAGGGTTCTAAAAGTACCCAAATTATCTTAGTGTTTGGGAATGACTTCTGTCTATTCAATAAAGGCAGCCAAAATGTCTTGCATGAGGGAAAAATCTTAAGAAAACATCTAAGCTGTCCCGAAGTTGCTGAGATGGTGCTTTGTCAGGGAGGATGTGCTTTATGTCATTCAGAATGTGCTTTATGTCGTTAGCAGTAAAACTAAAATTGACCACAAGAATCAGATAGTATCTGTTAAGGTCCTCCTCCACGTTAGGAACTGCTGTTGTAGAAGAAACTAATTCCAGTCATGAAAGGCCAGAGCACTGAGTCTTCCACTTAAGTAGAAGAATGACATTGGAAGAGTTTTTTCTTTGTCTTCTAGTCTGCTAAACAGGATAAACGTGAAATTCTGAGTGTGTTAACAGTCCATTCATGTTGTTTGTATTGCTCTTGTAGGAAAACGTTATAATATTGCAGATGTGTCTGCTGCCCTATGTATGAGTCTTGGATTAATATGGTTTACTTTAGCTGACAGCACAGTTGCACCAAACTTCAACTTGACAGGTAAAGATATATTATATTTTAGAGTTTAACAAAAAGCTTGTTTTTTCCTACAATGAGTGTTCCATAGAAGTTCTGAGAGTTCTTGGTGGAGCGCCTTCAGGTATCATACGGACAATGCAGGTTTCATTTTGGCTTTGCACTAGCAGAACTATATCTGTGGCAGAAGAGGCCTTTGTTCTAAGTGATTGTTTTTAGATTCCTAAAATTTCTGGAAATTCCACCCCTTAGATTGAAATGTCTCATGCTTGTTCTCAAGAAATATTTATTTCCCAGTAGATACGTTAAAATAAATATGATAAAATTCAGTTTGACCATTGTAAAACTTCAAAACATTAGTTGTCTTTTCCAGTTAAACCTTTAAGTCTTTTTCCATTTCGGAACCATTTACTTTATATTAATTGATGGTCTCACTCAGATTTGCTGTAGTTCTTAGTTGGAGTGCCCACGTTCTAACTTTTCTATACTGTGTAAAATCAGAAGCAAAGAAAAGATTTTAACCTGCTTGGGTTTAAAAACTTAGTTGAATTTCTTTCTCAAATGACAAGGGAGAATTGGTTATTCATAAAGTCCATGTTATTTACTTGGCCAGTGTTTGGGTTATTACTGAACCTTGAAAACTTTTGAATATTCCAACTTATTGTATTCATCTTTTGAAATTCTGAGATGAGTTACAACAACTGTTACGACAGACGTTGTTTCCTAAAAATAATAATAAATTCTCGGTTTTAAGGAAAAGACTTTTTGTCCTCACAAAATATTATTTCATCTAGTGTTAGTAATGATCAATTTGTGATGTTGTCTAAACTGTGTGTTTCTTTGCCTTGCTTATAAATTAATTCTCGTGCCTTTTAATGTCATTTTAGTGCTACTGGTAGTGGAAGAAATTACAAAAATCTGTGAATTATATAACCTGCTGTACATTTAATGTGTTTATGTGTGGTGTAACTGGGTGGCTACTTGAAAAAAAATATATTTTGAGTACAGTATGACATTGGTATGCATGTAACTATATTCTAGTGTTTCTGATGCATAGATATGTGTTACCATTACAGCTATTTTTGACTATAGCCTCTAAGTGCATTCACATGTTAATATATTCCTTTTGTGAAATTTGAATTGTTTTAAATATGTGCTATGACTTAATTCTGAAAAGATTTGGGAAGTTGATTCTTCATCTCAATGGGATAGGGTAAAGTGCAGCAAATGTAGCAAAGTCCTGACACCCTCAAAGATCTGCGAAACACAAGATAAAAAACTTTAAATGTCTTCAGAGAATAAACAGGGTTGTCTTTCATTATTAACTTATTTTGAACACTTCAAGCAAGTCTGTGTATAGTGAAGCTTAGAGCACTACCATTTGGAGGAAGTTAGTTCTGTGAAAATAGAATGTAGAACTAGAATTCAAGAGTCTGGATCTCCCCTTCGGAAGGTGATTCAAAATTCTCCTGCTCACCTTCTGAGACGCTTCTTTCTGTATCTCTCTATTCCCTCTTTCCTGTTTTGTTTCATTCCCATGTCACTTAATTTAACCAGAAGAAACTTTTCATAATGGGAGAAGTGGAGTTTTTCCTCTTCTTGGATGAATTATGGAGATAGATGGTCCCTTCCTTCAAGAAATGTTCTGATTTTTGGCATTGCAGAAATATGTAGCTGCCAAGTGTAAAACCAGTGATAAGAATTATTAAAAACTTTGCTCAACTGCAAAATGGCATATTCTTTTGAATAATTACACTTTTCTCGATGGAAATCACAGAATAAGAGCTGAAAACAGAGAGGCAGAATTTAATTTTGTGTCTTCATAGAGTATCTTCAGAGAAATAACGACGTATTTAAGGATATTAAAACTTTCAAAAACATAAACAGCAAATTAAATTACTGTTTTCTAAAGTTGCAGTTTCATGTTACTGCCTACTTACTGCCCCTTGAACTCTTGAGTTCTTTCCAGTGATTTATGCACATTTATGTAGAACTGTTTCCATGCAAACTAGTATGATTCTAGCATGATTTCATAGAACTTCTACTAACGTGTTAAGAACAAGCTGTTTACATTTCACAGTTCTACAAGAGCAAAAGTATGCTGTAAACAAAACACATAATCTTTGTTGTCTAATGCAAATATTAAAAATGGAGTATGAGCAGACGTGAAATATTATCTGGATGAACATTTTTACAAAAACCAGAAACTCTCTTCTGCCAGAACAGATACATATTCATAACTACGGAAGAGGTATACTTTTCAAGATGGAGTTGGTGCGAAGACCTCAAAGCATCTCCTGGCTTTATTATTATCAAACTGGAGGGGTAGTGGTAGATATCCTAAATAGCTGTGAATAATAGATACAGGACTTCCAAAAGAGAAACCAGAAGAGAAGGGTGTGTAGAAGGAGACAGCCTTGAAACATTGTTGCTACGGGAACTTCCACTGTTCTGGCATTACAGGTGTAAGTGGAAATTAACTATTTTTGTGAAGACACAGTAAAAATATCAATTGCATGAAAATTCCTCCACCCTAGACTGTTTGTACAGGTGCAGTTTAGTCTTTTGCAGACTGAGGTGTTTTGTCCTTAGCTTCACTGTTGTTAAGATGATGTTACTTGGTTAACTACCTCTACTGTGTCTTCTAATCTTACGCATGGCAGGCTTCTAAAATGTGCAGTATTAAAGAGGTCTTAATGGGCAGGTAGACTCCAAACAACTCACTAGTCTAACACATTTGTGTGGTGGGGATTGCAAGTGTGAGAATGTATTATTGAAGAACTTATGTAAATATCCAATAGTTTGTAAATGTATAAGCAGCGTTAATATTTTAATGACTTCAAGCATCACATTAATAGTGTAAAATACAATGTAATGTAGTGTTTCAACCAAGTCTGTTGGTGCAAGACCTCCAGGTTTAATTTCTTTCAGAACTAATTTAGGACCAGTTCTTCCAATCATTTTACTCGTGCTTTACATACTACATAATGTTACTGGTCTCGTTCATGGTTTTGTGGCTGCTGCTCGGCAGGTGCAGTGCTATCACGACGAGTGGAACAATTCTTCTCTTCATACTCCAAACTGTGCATGTACGTAATATTAACATGTGTCTTGTCCCTACATTTCTCCTTTCCATACGCTCTTGCACTTCAGATTCCAGGTAACCTTTTCATCTCAATCCAGTCCTGAACCGATGTATTTGTCCAGTGATGTGCCTGGGCCATTAAGCGCTGCTGAGAGAGAACGCAGATGAAGACATACTCAGTCACTTTACAGAAGTGATCTGCAGCAAGACTATTGCTGAGCTGGAGGTGTTGTTATATCTTTGGACCAGAGCTGAATCCATAGTTAATATCTCTATACTGTGGTGTTTAGCATAACCAGTATTATTCAGGTTATCATGTCATTTCCATTGACTCTTACCTTTTCCAATGCCAGATAACTTTGGATAATGAAGCGTCTTTTTTCTGTTGCTTCAGTTGCATAAGTCTAGCCTGGGAAAGGAAATGGTGCCCAAACTAAAAATGCTGGTTTGGAAGTTCCCATATATCCAGAAGTTGGCCAAGGAGATGCCACCTTAAACTTCATTGGTCTTAAAAATGTTAAGTCTTTCAATTCTGAAAATCCTAGCAGCTGGGATGTTTTTTTCTCTTTTTTTTTTTTTTTTTTCCTCTTCGCCATACTCCATTTGGTTCATCAGAATGCTTATTTTGAGACCTCTGATAGCAAGAACGTAATATTAAGAAAATAAAACACTGCTTATTTCTAGTCTTCCACTCATTCTTCCTTGACACTTATGACGTTTTAAGGAACCAAGACTAGAGCAGACAGTAAATATGATTTTGATGACTGATATCTTCTGTAATGTTCTATACTTAGGAAAAGTGGTATTTCAACCTGTGTGCATCATTAATTTCTACTCTTGCAACATTAAATACAACGGTTGCTACAGTCATGAAAGAATCGAAGTTTGGAGGTTGGGAAATGAATTGTGACTGGCATGGATAAAGAGTTATTAATTTTTGTTATGGGAAAGCTGATTACATTATTGACTGTGTAGTGACTTTGTTGTGAACAAATATGGTAACCTAAAACCATAGGTTTTGTACCTGAACTATAGTTTTTTAAAATTAATATTTCAACAGTGAAAGATTTCCACTGTGAATCCTCTTGCATTTGGTTTATCGTTACATCTAACATTTCTATTTGCCTTTGTCAGGAAAAATAATCTAGGATTAACTACTCAAAAGAGTATGTTCTCTGGTTATTTATCTTCATTAAAAATATCTCAATAAATGCAAATTATATTCTTTCACTCTTGTTACTACAAAAACTACAGCTAGCTTCTTTATAGCAATGTCCAGATGTTCCTATCAAGCTTAGAGACACACAGTGCTCGGGGCTTAACTGGTGGAGGGAGTGGGGGTGGACACTGCTTTATACTAGTATAATGAAACAGTTTTGCTGACATTTAGAATATGATATAGAAGGGGGTTTACTATTATTTTTCTATTCCTGAGATGATTATTTTTTTCAGGATAAGTACAGAGTGGTTTTTGTCACTACTCTGCTTTGCCAATAAATATTCTGAACAGGTTTTTGTTTGTTTGTTTTCTTGTATTAGGTGTGGTCCTAATATCCCTTGCCCTCTGCGCAGATGCAGTTATAGGAAATGTACAGGAAAAAGCTATGAAGTTGCACAATGGTTCTAATTCAGAAATGGTAAATACCAGATTTGCAATTTTAAAAGAACACATTCTATCATAGACAAGGCATACAATGACAAAACATGAAACTAAATCTGCTTTTCCCTTGCATATGTAAAGAAGGGCTCTTGGTGTACTATTCTTGGGGTTTTCTGTTTGTTTGTTTGGGGGCTTTTGGTGGTTTTTTGTTTGTTTTGTGTTTTAACCTTTCAGGGGTGCTGCTTTCTGTGTGCAACTTCAAATGTATACTGCAGCTACAAAAACGCTTATTTCTAGCAACAATTTCTTTGTCTACCCTGCAGGCCTGAAATCAATGGAGTATGATTTCTGTATGATCATGCACTTAATCTCTGAAAAATATATACTGTTCTTCTGGTATAGATAAGCATGTGTTACATGGAACACATAACTTTTCTTAGTTACATGCTTTTCTTACTTTGCTAGACTTCCAATTCTAGAGTATGCTAGCATTTGAGAGGCAGCCTTTTTTTAAGCTTTTGAAATCAGTAAAACTCTGACTTTCGGAATGGGTGAATGTGTGTGTTCCTGATTCAGTGAAATACATGATTTTGAAAAAGTCTTGCTCAGTATTTTTTACACACTTATTTAGAATGCGGATTATCTGTTCATATGGTCTGACTTTTTTCTTTTTAGACAAAACTTATGTTTGATTGTGGCATCTTGTTCTCTAAAATAAAGTACATACAAGAAAATCTTTTATTATAACAGACATTATTTGAATATGCCACAAGTGAAAAAATTATTGAAATTTAATTTGCATATTTGGCATGTATTTGACACTTAACTAGAAAATCTAGTTTCTCATTTATGAGAATAGCTTCATAAATGGAGAGAAAATTAGTTAGAAGGAAGCTTCATTTGTGTCTGAAAATTGATTTAGGTTGGCTCAAGAAGTTTGAGCTGCAAGTTTCTGGAAAGTGGAAGAATATCCTGAAAAGCGTCACTGTATTCTTGTTTTTTATTTTTGTACTTTTTCTTAGTATTCAGTGTTGACTGCTGCCAGAGGCAGAGATCTTAGCTAGATGGACCTCACCTGACCCAGTGCAGCCTTCTATAGCTGTAATCTCTGAAATCCAAAATGAAATACAATCTGTAACTCTTTTCTTGCCCACTTTGCATCTTGCCAGCAGTCATCTGATAGTTGTTAAGTGCCTTACCTGCGATGCTCCTGTTATCTCCAGAACTTTGCTTTTTATTCTGCATTAGTCTGACAAACGTTGGTCTTCATATTGTATACTCATACTACTTGTAGAGAATCAGTGTAGAGGTTTTGTTTGTTTGAGGCGTAGAGATTACACTCTGGGATTTTGTTTGGAGAATTCAGTGCAGAAGTACAAGCAGAATATCAGAAATCATTTTTCTAGACCTCAGACTGTGGGTGAAAATTTAAGAGGCCTTCTGAATTGGAGATTGTGTTTAATGGACAGTGATCTGGAAATAAAATTGAATAGTAAAAGAACCTGTCATCCACAGGATCTCTGTTTCATTGCCGAATTTGGAACTTGCCATGGATTAAGCAATTATGAAAAGAGAAAAGATGTCTTGTGGCTGAAATAGTAACCACTGCTCTGGAAACTTATATCTGATTTTGCCTTGTGTGTGATTCTGAGGAAGTGACTTAAATCACACTGCCTAACAAGGAACTAGCAATGTGGTGCTCATTCCTGGTTGTGAAAAGTGATGTCTTTGGGTAGTTTGGGAGGAAAGCTGGATGCAGAGGCAAATGGAGAACTAGAGACTAACTTTTGTGTGTATAAATGCTGTAAAATAAGAGCTTTGAAGATCAGGTCATTGTTTTTTAAGAGGTTGAAAACAGTTCTGCTCTTGAAATGTATGTTCATCCTCCTTTATTGTAGAGCAGCGATAAGTGTTCTGTTGTCTCATGGCATTGTTATCAATTGTTAATAGATTTATTTTTGCAAATAATTGAGATAGTATAACAAGAAAACAATTGATGAAACCTGTGTCAAAAGAAGTAGGCCTGTAATTGACACTGAGTTTTGAAAGTGTAGTAAATCAGCATGTTCTAGCTGGTAATGTGCAGAATATTTCTGTTCACTGTTTCCTGTTTTCACAAGAAAAGGCCACTAAATGTTGCCCAAGCAGCTGAATGCCTCCCACTGCACGGGAGGATGTATGGATGGGCAGTTCCAGCTTCTATTGTTGCCTCTACATGGGAAAAGAGAGTATGAAGATTTTTTTGTTGCTTTTGTGTGAAGCTGTGAGTTAAATACGGGTACAGACAAAATGAAGAGCTTACCTGTTTACTGAGTATAGTCTGTTCTGAGTACTGAACTAGGCCTTAGCTGGTCATGTATGAAAATCTTGTATCCTATAACCATAATGCAGGTGCACCATGTACATGAACTGAAGTGACACAGGTGAAACTTATGTGACACTTCTTCTGGCAGTTCATAGTGCTTATGTGCTACCCTTTGCACATTTAATGTAATGTGGATCTTTACTGTGCAGGATAAGTAGCAGAAAATGAAAGACGTTTAACATATTATTCAAACTATTTGATTATATAGTTGTGTGAAGTTTTATTTAGGCTGTGAAATCCTGAATTTGAAGGATTTACCATAGTCAACATTGACCTCAGGATATTATTAAACTGGCTAGCTTACAAAACTTTTTTTATGTAGTTGTGGGTAGGAAGAATGTCTCTGATACTTAGTATTCACTTTTCACTATACATCAGCTATTACAGAAATCCTAGTAAAAATATCTTCAAACACTGCAAGTTCAACTCTGAGAAGTTGAACATATTGATAGGCCAAACATTTGAAAGCATTTACTTTTGTCCTTTTGTATAGTATCACCTGGTAATTATTTTCTCTTAAACTATTCTGGGTTTTGTATTCCTATTTTGTATTCCTATTCAATAGGTTTTGTGTATATTTTATTTGGATTAACATGCACTAGTGGATTAAGCCCTGCAGTAACATTTTGCTCAAAGGTAGGTGTAAAAATTTCCTTTTTTCTATGAACAATCTCATTGGAAAACATCGCTCTGTATGGTTTAGAAAAATCTCGCTACTTCTCTGAAGTTATATTTTCATCATGTAAACTGGTTGACTTGTATAGTTATTACAGTCTTTGATGTATAAGATAGGGTAGTGTTTTAAAAAACAAAACAAAATCACAGGACCAGACTTATGAGTTTATAATTTCATTATTATTTTTCCATTATTTAACTAAAATCTAATAAGGATCTTTGCATGAATGCATTGTTGAACAGCTTATTATTGCTCAAGCAATTGATTGAAGTCTGTAGTTTTATGCCATTTTGCAATACCTCAGGGTTTGTTTTACATTTTCCTAACAGGCTTTTTTGTTGTTCTTGCAGCATCCAGTTCAGACTTACGGTTATGCATTCCTTTTCTCCCTGACTGGGTATTTTGGCATATCCTTTGTTCTAGCGTTGATTAAAATCTTTGGTGCCCTTCTGGCTGTAACAGGTATGAACAAATGATATCTTTACTGCTTTTGGTATAAAAACATGAAGTAATCCTATTCTATTATTTAGGACAGAGCTTTTGAGAATTGTTCTCACTCTGGCTTTTTTTCTGTTCTTTGGGATGACTGATTGTGGTTTGTGTAGCATGGATCTTCTCTAATAGTATGTGTTTGAGAGCTTCCTGGTCCTTTCTGTGCCGCAGTTTCAACTTTGAAGAGCCTGTTAAGTAATCTTGTGCATATAGGCTGTGCTATGTGTTAATGCAGAAACAACACTGTTCTAAACAGAGGAATTGCAATGGAAATGTATAGCAAGGTGTAAGGAAAAGACAGGTATTATTTGAAACGTGGAAGGAAAAGTAAGGATGTTCCAGTAAGGCATAGTAGGCAGCGTCATAGTCTCTAAGCACAGAATTTCTGGAAATTTCCAGCAAATGGTATTGCTAGAAAAACTATGAAGAACTCCCCCAAAGCTTCTGAATGTCTATCCCCTGTCAGTGGAATGCTGCTGTAGCAATGTTAAACGTACAGTCCAGACTCAGTTCAGAATACACTCAAGTGGAATAAATCCTGACTTTTGTGATGGTCTCCTCGCTTCTTTTTATTAAACTGAAGGGAATAAAGGGTGTGTATTAGTTTTGGAAGTCAGGATTTGAACTAAACAAACTTCTGGTGGGCTGTGTAACAGCTGCTGGATTATCTCTAAATTGCAACTTATGTATTCATGGGACAGGTACAAGCCTATTGTTAATGACAGCAGCAGACTCTGTCTAGTCTTGTAAATCTTTTAGACTTCGATGTAATTGTCCCGCAAAAAATGGAAGCAGCCAGGTTTTCTGTTGAATGCTTAGTACAGCATATGACTGTATCAACCATGTCAGAAGAAACAAATGTAAAGAACTCTGAGTAATATGTTGAAAAGATTTGGGTCCCTCACTGGGGTGTCTGCTAGCCGCAAGTGAATGTGGAACAGTATAAGTCCCTAAAGTATGTCAGAAGTTACTGGAATCCTCTCCAGGCTAAGAAAGTCACCAAATGCCATCTTGTCTGCTCTTGTGATAGTTCACACACAAATAAAAAGTTTCTGTGATGTGGTGTTCTCACCTAATAATATAATAATGACCTAGCAATAAATGCAAGTCACACCTATCTGCGCTGACATGCTCCAGGTAGGTGATGGATGAGGAAAAGGAGGGTGTGAAGCAGGAGGCAATCACAACCATTATAGATTTTCAACCTTTATAGATATTCAGACTTGACTCTTACCCGGTATGCAACTGGACATATTCTTCACGTTGAGTAATCAGTCATCTGGAAAAATCATGTGGAGAGATTGAAATCCTACTAGCTGAGATTGTCTGGCCCTCTGTGAGTGAGGAAGCCACTGAGCACAATTAAGTCTCAGCACTGTGCTGGCAAGTAATGTCATCTGGTTATGTTTGGTCTTTACTAATGCATTGGCTGATGTGTGCCTTAGAAGCAATGAAAAGTATTAAAACTAAACGTATTTTGTGTGGAAGGACAACTGTGTGGCTTCAGAGAAGGAAGTGTGTTCAGACCTTATTGATACTTTGTCTGCCTGAGATCCTTAATGGAAGAAGCAGTACAGAAAATGGTTAAATCAAAGGAATCGCTAGTTAAGACAGATGTGACAGAAATTGCGGCTCAGAAATTATTTGTACGAGTTTATCGTGGCTTGCATCTGTATTTGTGAGGCCGTGGCATATTTTCGTATGTGGCATTACCTGAGTGTGGCAAAGCTAGCTATAGCCGAATGACATAACTGTATCATAAGTGAATGCTTTTAACCTGTATTGTTACGAGTTTATAAAACAGTCAAGTGACTGAAGTGTTTACATATTGGAATATCCTCAACTGTTGGAATAAGGGGAAATAACCCTGCTGTTCATTTTAACAGCAGTTAATTGTAAAGTTAATGTTTTTTATGTATCTAACAACACTAAAGGAAAAGTCTGACATGATCATTTCTCAGCATCTTCCTGTACACCTGTTTTCAGGCTGTCCCTAAAATTATTACTCTTTACTATATGCAGCTGCTATAGAACGTAAAATTGTTTGTCTGTGGAAAATTGTTGCTTCCAAACTTAAAATGTAACTTGAGTGTATTTTTGAAAAATCAGTCATTGCCTATCTAGCTTCTCCTATCATTTATATAGTCATTACAGTAGTCTGTCAAGAACGGTTACACCAGGCTCATTCCTTCCTCAAGTTACCTTTTCTTAAAACTACAAACATTGGTCACGAGGGCCTGGGGGGGGAAAGGTGTAGCAAGATGCCATGGAGCTACTTTCCTCTCTTCCCTCTACCCCTAAAAGCTGGTTTCTGTCAGGTGATGCTCTCCTTCATTCGCAGTAGTGGAGAGGAAAATACAGACAGTTGTTTTCTGACCTGAGGATTGCATGCTCTGCTCTCCTATTAATTGTTGCTTCTGCAGCACTTTCTGTTATAACGAAGTTCAGTACGTCTCCTGACTGGAAATTGGCCCTGATGAGAGGGTTGGTTCCTGTATTAAAATAGCTCTTTAAAAAAAAAAAAAGTCTTACTGTGTTAAAATATGTTTAAAGATGCTGTGGAATAGGAAACCCTTCCCAGGTTTTCTTATGCCTGACCTTGACAATCCTAACACTAGAGCCCTTTCCATCTTGTCTGTAGCACTAGCCACTGAGCACAATTAAGTCTCAGCACTGTGCTGGCAAGTAATGTCATCTGGTTATGTTTGGTCTTTACTAATGCATTGGCTGATGTGTGCCTTAGAAGCAATGAAAAGTATTAAAACTAAACGTATTTTGTGTGGAAGGACAACTGTGTGGCTTCAGAGAAGGAAGTGTGTTCAGACCTTATTGATACTTTGTCTGCCTGAGATCCTTAATGGAAGAAGCAGTACAGAAAATGGTTAAATCAAAGGAATCGCTAGTTAAGACAGATGTGACAGAAATTGCGGCTCAGAAATTATTTGTACGAGTTTATCGTGGCTTGCATCTGTATTTGTGAGGCCGTGGCATATTTTCGTATGTGGCATTACCTGAGTGTGGCAAAGCTAGCTATAGCCGAATGACATAACTGTATCATAAGTGAATGCTTTTAACCTGTATTGTTACGAGTTTATAAAACAGTCAAGTGACTGAAGTGTTTACATATTGGAATATCCTCAACTGTTGGAATAAGGGGAAATAACCCTGCTGTTCATTTTAACAGCAGTTAATTGTAAAGTTAATGTTTTTTATGTATCTAACAACACTAAAGGAAAAGTCTGACATGATCATTTCTCAGCATCTTCCTGTACACCTGTTTTCAGGCTGTCCCTAAAATTATTACTCTTTACTATATGCAGCTGCTATAGAACGTAAAATTGTTTGTCTGTGGAAAATTGTTGCTTCCAAACTTAAAATGTAACTTGAGTGTATTTTTGAAAAATCAGTCATTGCCTATCTAGCTTCTCCTATCATTTATATAGTCATTACAGTAGTCTGTCAAGAACGGTTACACCAGGCTCATTCCTTCCTCAAGTTACCTTTTCTTAAAACTACAAACATTGGTCACGAGGGCCTGGGGGGGGAAAGGTGTAGCAAGATGCCATGGAGCTACTTTCCTCTCTTCCCTCTACCCCTAAAAGCTGGTTTCTGTCAGGTGATGCTCTCCTTCATTCGCAGTAGTGGAGAGGAAAATACAGACAGTTGTTTTCTGACCTGAGGATTGCATGCTCTGCTCTCCTATTAATTGTTGCTTCTGCAGCACTTTCTGTTATAACGAAGTTCAGTACGTCTCCTGACTGGAAATTGGCCCTGATGAGAGGGTTGGTTCCTGTATTAAAATAGCTCTTTAAAAAAAAAAAAAGTCTTACTGTGTTAAAATATGTTTAAAGATGCTGTGGAATAGGAAACCCTTCCCAGGTTTTCTTATGCCTGACCTTGACAATCCTAACACTGGAGCCCTTTCCATCTTGCCTGTAGCAATGTCAAAATGTTTATTGTGCCTTGAAAGAACACCACATTCATTACTGTCCCTCCCACCCCCCCATCCACCCTCCCCCTTCTTGGGGGGGAGTGGGGTGAAAGAGTTTAATGAAAATTGTATTTCTATTGGCAGAATGAGAAATTATTAGACTTAATTGGGAAAAAGAAGAAAAGGCACTTAATTTAGAAGGAAATGGTTACATAAATATTTTAATTAATAACTGATTTGAAAGAACAGAAATAATCGTAATTAGAAAAACTGAAGTAATTTAACCATTTTTTTAAATTATTCATCTGTAAACTGTTTTCTAATTAAAACTCAATTTTCTTTTTCATTCTCCTCTAATTTTTCATGTAATAGAAAATCATTTTATTTGATGCGCATAAATTTCTTAAAATGTAAAGAAAATTGTTACTAAAAAGTTGAGATTGGGGCAGATAAAGCAATGGTGATGGCTGTTTCTTCCACTACAAAACATGTTTTTAAGTAAATATTTGTTTGTGGGGGAGGGTTGGGGAGAATGAAACTTGCTTTACCAGCCATAACAGCGTGAAAATACATCCGTAGTCATTGGTTCCTTCTGTCAGTATGTTACAGTAAGACTAATGTGGGTTTAGTTACACAAGAAAGGCTTTCCAGTATGGCATAGTAGAAAGTACTTCATGGTAAGCAAAATATTTTCTGTTTAATAAAAAACACAGTTTTCTTCCGGTGCAGACAATTGTACTGGGGTCTGTCTTAAGTGAGAAGCCTGCACTATCATATAACACCTTCTCAGGCCCTTAACCTCCATAGCTAAACTTGTACGCCTGGCTGCATTGTTACTTTTTTTTTAAACATTTTCTATAACTTTTACTCATTTATTGATTTTGTTTCAGTGATAAACTATATAGGTTTCCCAGTACACAATTTGCTAGCAACACTGTATTCTTGTTCATAGCAGATAGCATTGAAATTGTTCAAATAATTGTTGGAGCTATAGTTAATTTGAGAGTACCCCAAACAGATAGTTCAGTTCCATTTTGGTAACAGGATTGTGTTCTCAACTCTTCTTACTGCCATGATTCTTCCTAGTGATAAGATCACATGTAGAAGAAGGTCTCTTAATGGTTTTGATGAAAACTTCCTAATGCATAATCGTTGAAGTCGGATATCCTTGGTCTCTTAGGTTTCTAACCCAAATTGTGTTTCTCTGCACTGTTAGGTAAATTCTCAGTAACTTCAAAAGAATGACAAGATGCTGATCTCATTCCACTTAAAATTAAAGCCCAAACACCACTGGTGTGTTACTGAACTGTAATAACGAGGTGGAAATGGCAAGAGATTTGGTGTATCCAAACAGTGATACCACTTTTTTCTGCTTTAACAGATTAGTTTATACCATCAGTTACTTGCAAGGATTGTTTGTTGCCTTCAGAGATTGTGAATTGATTAGCGTGAAGTTATTAAATAGCAAGTCTTGTTCTGGAAGTTTCTCTGCTGCAGATACTGTGACTGGAGCTGATGCTACTGAGGCAATGTGCTCGTTTCAAACAGCGTATGGTTCTAGCGCTGTTTTGCACTGGACTGATGCGTCTGCAGTCTGTGTTTGCGCCAAGGATGGTCCTCGTTTTAGCCAGACACCAAATTATGTAATGAGGTTATCTGCTAATATTGAAGACTATATTATGTTCTTTTGCTGTAACTGAATTCTTAAAGAAGTAAATATTTGTTTTCCTCTGCAGTAACTACAGGAAGAAAAGCAATGACCATTGTGCTTTCTTTTTTGTTCTTTGCAAAGCCATTCACATTCCAGTAAGTATTTATAGTTTTAAATGGAATTTTATATATTTTATAAAAAATTACGTTCTTGATCATGGAAATATAACAACAGTAATTAATCATATTAGGCTTTACTGCTTTTCATTTCGTACCTTCTACAAATGCTGGCCATCTGCTGTAAATATTGACTGGCTTGTTGATGCTAATCACGCTATAGAAAATAGTTTCCATTTTTCTAAAGGTCTGGAAGACAAGCTATTCCATGTGTTGGCATTTTTTTTTTTGTTTTTTTTTAAGAAAAATCTCACATAATATCTAGTGCTTATGATACTTAATAAATTGTTTGGGTACTTTCTTTGTGGAGGAAGATTTGGCTAAAGGCAGGCATTTTCTCCATTTTAGTATTGTTTCCCCTTTTACAAGCTCAGGTTTGAGTTCTTAGCTAGCCCTTTTAAATAACTGCAAGCTTCTATTATCTTGATATATTAAATTGCAAGAGTTTTGAGCTTGGGTTTCTCCCTTTTTTTAATTTCAAGGAAGAGCTTACATTGAAAAATGCAGCTAAGTTGCTACATTGATCCTAATTGCTTCTGGTCTGAAACAAAATAGTATTCACTTTTATTGCTATGTATAAATTTATCTGAGATTTAAGAACAAAGCTTACAGCCAAATGCCCAAATGGAATTTACTCCAGCTCAAAATCTTGAGGCTTAAAATAATGGAGAGCTGAAACAAAAATGTGCTTACCTTGGGAAGTATGGATATAGGACACTGAGTGAGAACACATTTTGAACCAGTAATAGAGAGTATAGCTCTCATAACCGTAGGAAGGAAAATCATACTAAAACCCCTCAGGACTACTTTATTCATGTGAGAAAGACAGCTACTGTTGTTATTTAACTATAAATGCACCTTAATAAGCTCTCCAGCCAGGATGGGAAAAGGAAGGGTGGAAGGATAGTAATAATAAAGATTCAAGCAAATTCTTTCTCAGAGTCCACTAATTTGTGGGGTTTGGGGTTTTTTTCCTTAAACTCTTCTCCCCTTAATGTAGGGGCTTTGTTTTTATTTAATCCACAAATATTGGTATGTAATCGCTACAGATAAAGTGCTAATGGTAACTTTTTTTTTCCCCTCCTCTCCCTCCCCTTTAGGTACGTGTGGTCAGGCTTACTGGTTGTCCTTGGTATATTTCTTAATGTTTACAGTAAGAATATGGATAAAATCAAACTGCCTTCACTGCATGGTCTTTGGAAAAAAAGTGTGGAAGAAAGAAAAACAAGGACGTTGTCACAAACTGTATAGACAGTGGCTTATGCCTTGTCTAGACTATGACATTATTTTATTGGAACAGTCTTCAGCTGATTCACTTTCCAAAGGGAACACTATTAAAACCAAAGGAGCTGAAGGCATATTGTCTGCTTGCAGATTGCTAGAAATGCACATTTTTGTGAGCCCTTTCTTCAGAGCACTTGAATTCATCATAAGAGGGGGTGTAGGCTATTGTCAGATGGCATTATCAGGCAATGAAGGACAGCAGCTCCTGGCAGACTGCTGAGAAGCTGCACTCCAAGAGGGACACAGTAGAAGACTAATTTGGGCATTTTAATAATATTGGCCATGTGGCTGATCTGAGATTAGTGGTTCTTTGTCTTTGTTAATTGTCTAGGCGGGGTAGTTTAAATGTAATACTGTATTAATATTTAATGGCACCTAATCAGCAACTGGTTGACCAAATTGAGATTTTAAAGGTGGGAGGTTTAGAATATGGTATATTGTCACTCTTCTTCATTTTAAATAAAAATGGGGGGGGAGGGGGGGTGTTAAGTTATTGATTAGATCATCACAGAACTTGGTATTTATTGTAATAATTGAATTTTTTATGGAAATCTTACGGTGTTACTCTTTTTGCTTGCAAGTAACAAAAATGAGATTGAGCCTGTGCAGTCAACACCCATGCTTTTACAAGGGGGGAATGGTCTTTTAGGCCTGAACAGGGTGAGAACACAGAATGAAAAAGTCATGATTGAAACAGTGGTCTAAGAAGCTGTTATTTGCTTATTCTGTGGTGAAATGCAAAATTTTTAGTGGCCTGTGGCCCTCCATGTCATAGTGGTGTAAAGAGACGTGGAAGTCCTTTAAATTAGTTACATCAAATCAAAACTCTTCATTTTCAGTATTGGAGTAAAGAATAACAGCATCTGCTAATGTATTTTGAATATATATATTTTGTCAGTCCTTGTGTGGTCCTGTGATGAACTTAAGAGGATTAGGGTGCAGATTACAATTTTCTTTATTTAATGACAGGAGGAGACAATGTACTACCAGTCCGTCTTTTTCATCATGAATTTAGGAAGACTAAGTCTGTTTATCTCTCTTACTTTCATATCCAATTTGCTTTTGAATCGCGTGCTGTCTCTTTCATTTTATATATTTAACAATAGCACTTTAAAAATACTAATCACCTTACAGTTTATTGTTCTCATGTGGTCATGATTTTTTTGTTGTTGTTATGTCCCTTAGATGCATCTTGGTGTGTGTTCTTTCAACTTAGACAAAAGTAAATTGGATAATAGAATTGTATAGTCAGGAAGAACATACAAAGAATTGAAGTATCTCACAGGATTGCCTTCTACCAAAAATACTAGTTTATGACATTTAGGAAGAATTGCTGTTCCAAGGAGTTTGTAATCAAAGCACAGACACAAAATGTGCCTTAAATTTTGCTTATTGGGTTGGTAGCTAGGATATGCCATATTAAGTATGTTATAAAATAGAACATGGAATAACATAGCCATCTTAGCACGATGGGACAAATGAGTGGAGAGCTGCGCTAACATAACTGCACTGTTTCCAGCACTCAAGCTACTCTGGTGTGTCAGCAAAGCCTTTCAACCCATATACACCCAGTGCTGCCAAGTTAGGAGAATTTATTGCATGTGACAATTTTGGTTTTTAAATTCCCAGCTGCTGCTTGATTGATTATGTCCTGATAAGGTAGAGGTGTGGATTTGATGAACAGATACACCTTGAAAGAGAAGGATGGCCTGCCGTGGCTATCCATTTTCATGTTGCAGCCACAGTTTTATGATAAGATATGGAAGAGGGTTACCATTTCAAATTTCATGCAAGAGTGCATTTGACCAAGTCAAGGGGATTGATACACATTTCTTTCCCCATAATATTTATCAACTCTTATATTCCCTTGCATTCTTTTCTCTAAATGAAGTTGCTCTTTCCAGTGAGGTTAAGTTACCTATCAAGCTTAAAAGAGGGACAGTTTTTGAGCTATTGAAAAGAAAGTAATTATGGAACATTTGCTGCTCTGTTCACTAGCTTGGTGGAACATGGTAATTAGCATTTGAACATTGTTTTGACAATTTTTCAGTCTCAGTTTTGCCATCTGTAAACTCTGTTGCTAAACTTTATTTATTTATTATAACTTCAGGAAACCAAATTATGTGAAAGCTACCATACATGCAGTAAGTCATAGTAAATATAATTCGTTTGGCATCTATTTTATATAAATAGATGAGAAGTCACTCCCAAAGTTTCTGACTAGAATTCAAATGTAGTATGTAGGTTGCCAAACTATTTATATAATCCAGTGTTGTCTCTATTTTATCTCTCTGGAAAGCGTGGTGTTCACAATAATTTACCTTTTAATTTATTCTCTATTGTATACAAGACTGAGTTAATGGAGCACACATTAGGGGAAGTTTTGATTAATTTTTTTTCTTAATTTTATTTTTCTTAACTATAGAAATGTATGTTTTGTTTTACAGGTGTACTTTAAAAAAAGTTTTTTATAGACATAATATTGTAGGTTTAGTGTTAATAGCATAAATTTAAGAGTCAGATTTTTATTTTCATAGGTGTGAGTCTAGTATTTGCTAATCAACGATATGTAAGCGTGCTAATGAAAATGCACACACAAGTGAGCGTAGTTCATCATTTGCCACCTGTCGTGGTCTGTGCAGTTTCATGCTTTCATTGAGATGTTAAGAAAACCTTCATTTCAGTCGATTGCTGTTTGTGGGGGTTTTTTAATAAGCTTTATAGCGCATGCAAGTAGGAGAACCTTACAAATCTCCACGCGTTCTTATTACAAAATTTTGGGTTAGGATCTTCTGTACTGTATATGTATGTTGGTTTTGTGTTGTCTATGAAATATTAATAAGGGCTTGTCCACAAAGTATCTGTAAATTCTTTATTTTTCGTGTAAAAGCACTTATATCGGGGTGTTGGTTAACCCTTCCTAATGTTGCTACGTAGGCTGATCATAATAACTTTTGCATTTTATACTCATTGGCTCCTGGGCTCTTTACAGTAGGCATTACGAAACTACAGAAAAAAACATTCATTCTTTCACTATAAAATTTATGATCTAAATATAATGTGAATTAGTTGCTTCTTATTCTTATGCTACACAACTTTCTCCTCTTTACAGAAAAAACTGTGAAATAAGAATTAGTTATAATGGGATTGAAGTTCACACTAAAATTTAAGGCTGCTCAAGGTCTCCACTGATGTCAGCAATCTACCTCTGTGACACCCTCACCTTTGGAGGACTGAGGGAGCTCTGTTCTCCTAAATTAGTATGCATTTGCCGTTGCTTTCACATTACATTTTTGCATTTATTTGGCACACTTGAATGCCGAAGTAATTGACTGTGCAGTGGATTTCTTCAGTATTTCAGTACGTCAGTATCATCAAACCACTAATTATGCAGTTACCTATATGTGAATACAAGTGTGGAAGAACTAATGCTCTGAACCCCCCCTAAACCTACAATGTTTCCTGATACTGCATTAAACTGTTTTTCTTAATCTTGTTTTACCACTCATGTGCTTTGAACTTGCCAAACACTTTAAGCTAAAACTTAGGCATACGTCATTCCTACTTTTCTTCCTTACTTCCTTACTCGTCCTTTCTTTTGGATGCTAACTCCCTTTTTAACATGCTCTGTTGATGCACTATGGATTGTTTCAGTTTTCTATTCCTGCATTTAAGGGCTCATATCACACTGTTACAGATTGGTCACATTCCATATTTTCTGCTTTATATCAGTTACAACTGTCTGGATGATTCTTTTAAATCCTTTTTTCTCCATGAAAAAGTCTTCCCTTTTATACTTTCCATTATTTTTGGAAAGGTCTTGATGAGTACATGTATGAGTTAACTCCTTGACCTCATTCCATCTTCCAAGAAAATCTCACTTCTCCCTTGCTTGCCTTTGAGAACTAAAGGAAGAGGAAATAAATTATTGCAAGTGCTCTTTTTTTCTTTAATAAGTGCCTTCCTTACTAACCTGGTTTGTCTTAATTGTTTCTTTTCTTTCTGCCTCCCATGCTCCCAGGCACAAACAAGCCCTTCTCTTATGTTTGACCACTCTTATGTTCAGTCATGGAAACTTCTTGAGTTGTTTACTGTTCTGGAAAGATGTATAGAATTGCATGTATTCTCTGGAGGGCAGGAAATAATAAGTAAACTTTGCAAGTTAGGGAAGTAATTAAATGGATTCATACTTTTTTTCTAGAGGGATTTTATATGTGGTTTAGGTAATAGCTCAGAATTTGTTAGTGGAAGGTATTGGGTTTTTTTTTCTTTTACATTCTACCTGTTTAAAAATCCTTCTATTAATTTTAATATTGAATATAAAACTCCTGACTATTCAGGTAGTTTATAGACATTAATTTTAGTCTTGCCTATGAGGCAGAAAAATCCTATCTCCATTTCACTGATGAAGCAGAGATGGTAACTTGCCCAAAGTTGCCTTAGTAAGCCTGTGGTGAGCAGGGAATAGATGGTAATACCCTCAGTTATTCTGCGCCCCAAGTCCCACAGAGCCCTTCTGTCCCTGACATAAAACAGTACCATCGTAAGCTCAGTTTTCTTTTACCCTCTAAATTTAGAGATTTTAAATTGTTTCCGTTCCATGTTCTATACTAGCATAATTTAAAGTGAAATTAAGACAGTCGTAAAATAGGCTTCCTGCGTTTTGTTTGAAGCTTCTTTGCATTGTGTGCATTGTTGTTGTCTTGTTCATTGGTTCTGTTTTCTGTGAACACTGCTATGGAAACAAGCCAGAGGGAGTAGCAGTCACAGGAGAAGCATAATATCCTTCACTTTCAGGTGACTGGTCCTAATTCAGTTCACCTTGCTACTGGTCAAAAGCTGCTGCCATTGGAAAACTGTGAGGAATTGTCATAATGTGAGGAATTGAGCATAATGATCTCATGCCAGGTCTGTATCTTTTTGCCATTCACTTGTAGAGAAGCAAAGACGGTAACACAACGAAGAACATTCATGCACAAATACTCAGCTTAGAATATAATGCTGACTTAACGCTTCTTTTCTATACCTGGATCAATTTCTTCTTTTTTGCTGTTTTTTCTTGAGATGTGATAGTAATGTATTGCTTCTCTATACTTTTGGATATTTAATTTTTTTTTTCTTTGTTAGATTTCTCAGTTTTATGCTTCCTCTTCTCTTGGTCTTTTATTTTAAGTGTAAAGTTTTACCTTGTAATTTTCATTACACCTGTAGTACTGTGTCCAGTTCTGGGCTCCCCAGGACAAGAGAGATGCAGGGCTACAGGAGAGAGTCCAGCAAAGGGACATGAAGACGATGAGGGGACTGGAGCATCTCCTATGAAGGAAGGCTGAAAGAGCCAGGACTGTTCAGCCTGGAGAAGAGAAGGCTCAGGGGAATCTCATCAAGGTACATAAATACCTGAAGGGAGGGTGCAAAGAGGATGGAGCCAGGCTCTTTTCAGTGATGCCCAGTGACAGGACCAGAGGCAACGGCACAAACAAACACAGGAGGTTCCCTCTGAACGTCAGGAAACACCACGTTACTGTGAGGGTGACCGAGCGCTG